GTAAAAGCTTTTTAACTCCTTCCTGCCCATTACCCTGTGCTGTGTGCCCAGTGCTGTGCACAGGGGAGAAGCTGTTTGCTGCTTGTGCAGGGACAGGTTTGGGAGAGAAGGCTCTGCCCAGCTCCAACTATGAGATAGTTTGGGCTGAGCAGGGTCAGATGTGCCTTGGGGAGAGGTGCTTGGCACCCTCAGGGTCTCCATCCTGGCTCATCCAGAGGGGAGTATCTCCAGAGAGGCCCCATTCTTGTGGGAGATGTGTTGCCAGGAGCCCCCCACCCCAGCAGGGGGTGGGTCACTCCCTGTCCTGCCTTGGCTTTGTCACCAAAGGATCACTTAAAACGTTTCTCTTGGTTGAGTGCCTTGTTACAGTCTGAGTGGCTGCTGGGGGCTGCCAGGAGCTGTGCCAGGGCCGAGCAGGGTTATTCCTGCAGGATGTGCCAATGGACATTATGCTCATGGCATGGAAGCACCTGTAAGAGTTGGCCCTGGTTCCTCTCCCTCTCCTCCCTCTCTTTATTCCCTCTCCTCCCCTCCTGGCTTCTTGCAGAGAATTGAGTGTGGAGCCTTTAAAAGTATTTTTGTTGCAGAGTATATTTTGCATTCGCTGTAATAGAGATTATAACGATTCTGTGCACCTTCTGATGTCTGAGTTCAGGTTGCTGCTTGTAATAACCAACTCTTGTTATACCCAAGTTGTAATTAGTATGTCTGATGTACAATTAAAAAGTCGTGGGTTTTTTTCTAACATCACTGTTTTTTTGTAGTGTGAGGATTATTGAGTTTGGGCACTGGGGGTCAGCCAGACAAGGGGCTTATCTCATACTCTGTTTCTTTGCATTTAGCACTGAAAATTTTCGTGCTCTCAGAGCTCAAACCATTTTCCCTCTCAGCTTCTCTTTCCTGCCCCTGCAAGCTTTCCCTGTGCTACCTCTGACAGATGATGGAGCCACACAAGCCCACGGGCACAGCTCTCAATGCCTGCAAAATGCCCTGCACCTCTTCTCCAGGGGGAGCATCAGTCAGCATCAGGCTGGAGAGAGTCACCTCAAGCCCAGGAGAGACTCTTCCTCCTGCCCAGGTCACTGCAAACTGTGATCACACATGAGCCTGCCCAGGTAAGAAACACTCCTGTTTATTCCCTTCCTAGTCACATAAATAACTTGGTATTGTTCCATAAGGTATAGCCCATTAAACTATTAACATGAGCATCTTTTTACAAAGTTAAACTTGGCCCAGGCAGAAAGCCACTGCTCAGGTGTGGGTAGGAGATGCAGCACTGGGATGATGCCCGGGTCCTGCTGCCACTTGGGTTCCCTAAACTGGTTGTGGTTTTGCTGAGCTCAGCTTAGCTCTGTGTGCTGCTTGTGGCTCCTGGTAAATCCTTGCAGCATCTGCTCAAGTTTGCTGTTTCCTTGGCTTTTGTGAGCCTCAGCCAGCATGTTGCCTGACAGCAGGGGAGGGCGGGAGCCTGCACATCGCAGGGTGCCTGGCCACATCCTGCTGCCTCTCGGCTGGGGAAGCAGGAGGCAGAGCAGGGCAGGATGCTGAGACCGCCGCTGTGGGGGAGCAGGGGGGCCTGGCAGGGTTCAGGCACTGTTTGTGGGGACACATGGCTCTGGAGGAGCTGCCAGGCCGTGGCTCCCAGCTGGGATGTGCTGCTGGCAGCCTGAGACAGCCCCCAAATGCTGCAGTTTCCTGACACTTTTTTATCCTCATCCGCAGGCAGCCTGTGCTGCCTCTGCTGCTCCCTGGGCAGGCCAAGGAGAGGGTGTGTCCAGAGCAAACCAAATTCCCAATCCCAAGCTTCTGTGTCACAGCAAACCTGAGAAGGTATAAGCTGTCTCCTTGGATGTAGCTCCTGCCTGCCCAAGGGTGGCTCAGCAGGGCTCACCTGTCTCCCCAGAAGGGAATGCTCTCTGCACTTCTCAGTCCCGTGGCACGTTTTCCTCTATCCATTTGAGGTAGAGAGGGTTTCCTTGGTCAATGGGCAGGCTGATGATTTCAGGGATTTCAAAGGGGTGGATGGATCTAAA